ATCAGCAAACCCTACACCCCACTATAACCTCCCCTCTTTGTTGTTGACCTAAGGCACCAAAAAAACTTGTACTACAATAATTCTGTACGTGCTACAGTAATTTTCGTACTTGCTATAGTAACTTTCGTGTAGATCGCGGGCTCTGATACCACTTGATGGAGGAAGAACTTGAAGAAATATAGAAAATCAGCAAGAAGCGCACAATTTTGGAGAAACCGTAAGGCTTTCTCCCACTTAGGGTTCAAACCTTAAGCTTCTTTTACAAAGCAAAGTCTTTCTTTTCTTAAAGAGGAATACATGAATGACTCTCCAGCCCATCCATGCCCTTATTTATATTGAAAAAAGATTGTTTTGAACAATCTTGTCCATACAATTAACTTTTGACCCATATGTCACAACTTAAACTAAAAATTCATAATGACAATTTTGCCCTTATGAACAGTCCCCATGAACAGTACTCATGAGTAGTACTTGTAAATAGTTCTCATGAAATAAATAAAAAATCAATAAAATCCCTAGAATTTCTAGAAACTAAAAACTCTAGAAATAAACCCTAAAACTAAAACTATAATATACATCCCTTGAAATTGAATAAAAGTAAAAAATAAATATTATTTTTCCCTCCATCATCCTCTCTTGGTTGGAGAAAGCTCATCATCGAGTTTTGAAGTGTGCTAAGATGAAATTAGCGTCAAAACTACGTTCTTCAACCTTCTTCTTTGTTGGCTCAAAGCTTATTCGTGGTAAAAATAATTCCTCAAGAAATGGATCCTGATATGTATATTGGGGAACCAGGGCCGCAATTTACAAATTCTAAATTGACCATGCTTCCATTGCACTACTCTGATGCCAATGCCCTGATTTTCTTGAATGCTCTATCTCTACAATATTTCAAAGGCCATGATTTGGATCAATCCTTCTATTGCCTTCTCTCCATATTCTTCACCCTCTTCCAAGATATATTCACCATCATCTTGATCCTTATCATAAATCAGATCTCTTAAGAAATCTTGTTGTTCATCTAAGTATATATCGAATATTGGTGGTGAATCCCAATCTAAATTTGCTGACTTTCCATGCAATCTGTGTCAAAATAAAAAAATCTCATCCTTCAAATCAAAAACCCTAGAGCGATGTTTCCCACATTTAGGTCTTCTATTGTTATCCTCATCACCCGACTCCACATGTGGAGCGCGAAAGTGAAAAGGCTTGCATTCGGACCTTTGTGGACTGAAAAATCACTGTCTTGCCCATTATTGAGGCTCGCAAACTCTTATGCCAGCTGCTGTACTTGCCTTTCAAGCTCCTCAATTCTGTCATCTATAGGATCGTGGAGTAGATGTACGAAAATCCCCCTTCTATGGCCCCTTCTCACTGTTATGGGTATGCAAAATCACAAACCCTGGGCAAATAATCAACAAAAAACTGCTGAAATCAACAATATCTAGGTTGTTTTGAAAAAACTTTGTCCAAAATCAGCAAACCCTAGGCCCTACTCTAACTTTCCTTCTTTGTTGTTGACCTAAGGCACTAAAAAAAAGTGATGCTAAAGTAACTCCGTATGTACTACATTAACTTCTATATTTGCTACAGTAACTTCTGTACTTGCTACAATAACTTCTATGTAGATTGGAGGCTCTGATACCACTTGATGTAGGAAGAACTTGAAGAAATAGAGAAAATCAACAAAAAAGCACACAATTTTGGAGAAACCCTAAGGCTTTCTCCTACTTAGGGCTCAAATCTTAGGCTTCTTTTACAAGACAAAGTCTTTCTTTTCTTAAAGAGGAATACATGAATGACTCTTCAGCCCATCCATGACCTTATTTATATTGAAAATTTATTGGTTTGGGTAATATTTGTCCATACAATTAACTTTTGACCGATATATCCTAACTTTAACAGTTTTGCCCCTATGAACAGTACCCATGAACACTACTCATGAATAGTATTTGTGAATAGTTCTCATGAAATAAATAAAAAAATGATAAAAACCCTAGATTTCTGAAAAACTAAAAAACCCTAGAAATAAACCCTAAAATTAAAACTATAATATACATTATTTGAAATTGAATAAAAATAAAAAATAACAACAAATTTTCGCTCCATCAACTGATGATGTGGCTTTCCCATAGAACATTTACTGATCATCACATACAAAACATTTAAAAGGAGCTCAATTTGTTTTCATATATATGAAGTCCATAAACCAATTGTTTTTTTGAATATCTGGGCAGAAGCAAACAAAGTTCCATAAACCAACCACTACCAAATTTTTTTGGGGTTATTGTTTTGTTGATTTTTTTTGTTAGACAATTCAATTTTTTATTTTCGCATATTTTTAGCCAAAAATATATCAGCCATTTTTTATTTGATAAAGAAAGTGAGAGCATTCTATTTTATATTTTATGGTTTTCCTTCTTTTGTTAACATTATTAATATTTTAATGTTTATTTTTTAACAATATTTATTGTTTTATTATTTATTTTTCATTTTTTCCTATTTATTAATTATTTAATTTTTTAGACCGGTCTGACTGATGAATCGGTCCTATTTGATCGGCCCAACTGGACCGGTGCTTTCACCAATTCGAACACTGGTCCTGTCGTACGAACATTGCTCTGAGCTTTTGCAATTTCCTACTCAGCAACAACATTTTCCCTGTCCTATTGATCAGAGTACGATTGTCGCTTCTCATGTGTGATCGTGTTGCCTTTGACATCGGTTGCAATACCTTCTGCAACATATGCTGCTCCCGCAGACAAAATGTACATCTCCTTTTTCCATTCATGCATGATTGGATCTCCTTTGATATTCCCCTTCTCAAACACTGTGACGTCGTCCGGTCCAAACACCACAAAGTATCCTAAAATAGTGATATGTGGAACTGGCACCTAATTCTTTTCCATACCCACCATCACTTTGTCGAGTGGCATGCACGTTACACATTCGCAACCGGATGCACCGAATTATCCTCTATCACCACTGCATGATTGCCATCGAATTTTCATAGCCATATGAACTTCTTGAGGTCTTCTATCATGCGATGCAAACAACACGAGTCTTTTAGCGAATCACATGCGTAGTCCACAATCTTTCTTACAAAAAGATTCTACTCCAATCGAGGCTATGTCCACGACCTTCGGAAACCCTGCTTGCACATCCTAGACGACATCATCGTCATGTGACCCTGGTTGTGTATCATTTGTCACTGTATTCTCATCCTCAGTCTTTCTCGATAGTCGGCGTCATTTTGCCAAGTGGCATGGCTTTCCATATCTTTAGAAAGTCTTCTATCATAGCTTATCATGTGATATGTTATTGCTGCCTTTTTTCTTGCCAGGGTTCAACTTTAAGAGCTGATTTTTGTTTTTCCTCTCCTCTCGCCCGTGGGTTGCTACGAACGCCTCCTCACTATCTCTTGTAGAGAGCCCCGCCATTTGTCTTGCTAGAGCATTTGGGTTCACTAAGAGGTACTCTTAACTCGAACAATGTGGTTGTGTGGGCCAACTTTGGATTGCGATTAAAATCCCATTAAACTCCGGTCTTAGACTGCAGATGAGCAACCTCCACATATGACTATCACTAATCCATGATTCCTCATCAAGTTGGGAGATCTCGTTGCGCACGTTCTTTACTTTCATAAAATACTGAGACACTAAAAGTGAAACCTGTATCAACGAACTGGGTCTCCAACAATTGCAACCAAGCTGTGTTCTTTCATGACAACAACGATGAGAACACATCCTATGCCTCCTTTGGTATCTTCATGTCCCTTATGTGGTCCATCAACTCTTGTTGCATTGATACTTTCAACACAAACAATGCCTTACCCACTCGGATCGTCCACTTTCGCAAGGCCTTTCCATTCGCAATCTCTGGTGTCGATGGGGAAATCACTTGGATGCGAATCTTTCTTTAAATTGAGTCTCCAATCTTGATATCTAGGAAGTATCCGTTAGAGTGAAAAATCACTTGGGGGATAGGCTTCCTTCTAATTGAGTTGAATCTCATGAACAAAATCCTGTTCCCTTTTACAAGAGGAAAGAGGACAAGCCCATTCTCTCTAAGGAGATTGGGGTGACTCTGATACCACTTGTTGAGTCCCATAGTGGAAATTCTTGTGCACAACAAGCATCCATGCACAATCAGAAACACATAGCACAAGCATGCACACGCACACCAAATCTAGAGAGAAAATTTTTGATGCATTACAAAAACTACTAAGAGTACAAAATGGACTTATGCCCACTGTGGTCCTATATCTTGGTTCTCATGGTCATGCAATACACTCTCTATCTTAGACACATCGCACAATGTCCTCCTCTCTCTAGGACGTGCCTCACGTGACTCTCTCTCTCATGACCTCTATTGGCCTCAGAATGCCTCTCACGGCAATGCCACATAATTTTCACGTCAAACCCACCATTTTAGAAGGTCACATGAAAGATAAAAACCTCCTAAAAGAACTGCTAGTCTAATCCCGTACCAACCACAACCTCTCTATCCTTATTGAAATCACATACTTCCGAACCTTAATAGGACTCCATATTCAATCTAATTAAATTCTACCCAATCCTATATAACAGGGACTTCTAATTTATCTTCTCTGAAACTCCATAAAGTCAGCATCGGAGTTGGTGAAGGTATCCAACATAATTTACATAATATGAACTTTTAAAAGATTGGCATTTCTTCATTTTTGGTGTTTTTTGGGGATTCATGGAGTGATGTATGGAGGTTTGGGTCATCCAATCGGGGCATTATAATATTATTCATGAGTTTAGTTGAATCCTTATTTTGTTCCAACTCATTGCCCCAAAATGCAGATTCATTGACATTGTTTTGTATATTGTGACATGGGTCTTGTAGGAACTTTGTTTCCTAGTATAATCTATTTTTCTTTGAAGGAGTTTGACTTCATATATGGAAAGATAGAAATTCCGTTGTGGCTAAACATTGTCAAAGGATTATTTCTATATCCCTTTCACTTTTTGCAGATTGCTGTTAGCTTTAATTCATCCTTCCTTGCAGCGGCTGATGATAGTGGTGATGTGAAGGTATACTTTGGGTATGATCTTGTAAGCATACATTAGATCTAAAATAATAATTTTCTATGATAAAGTGCTTTATTTTTTTAAATTTTAATTTCTATTTTTATTTTCTGTTGGTCTAGTTTATTTGTAATAAGTTTCAACTTCAACATGTGTTCACTGGTATCGGTATTTGGCAAATTTTAATCTGGAACTTTACTGTTGATATCCCCAGCAAGTGCTGATATTTGAGTTGGAGAAAATCATGCTAAATCTTCTTTTCTATGTCGAATACTCGGACTTGATTAAGAACTTCCACAGAAATTTAATTTGAAAAATTTAACTACAGAAGGATTATCTACTTTTGCATGGATGATTATTCGAGGCAATTGAGAGTCTATGATGTGTTGTGTATAGCTCACTGTGTAATGCCAGTTGTGTTAGCTCACTGTGTAATGCCACATGGGGTACAATTGTTTTTTGAACTGATATGACTTTTGATAGTCTCTCATTATCCTTTGGTAATTGACAAGCAATATCTGGGCTGCTACTTTCTGGTACCATGCTCCCTAGATGGACCAGTGCGCATAAAAATTGAAATCTGTTGGAAAAATGTGCAACATTTGGACCACATGCTTCAAGCATGAAGATCAAATATCAATAATGATTAAGAGTTCTTTGATCAAATACCTAGATTCTTATCCAGCAGATGGAAACATGACAGTCTTTGGTTAAACCCTCTCTGTGGGTTTGTATGCTACCATTTCATCTCTGCATGTATTATGTGTTAAGTCTTTCTATGAATGTGGGCATATGTAATTAACAACTTCATAACAATGAAGCAACTACAGACAAGTTTATGAAAAATGGTACATGCTTAGGTCCATTTATTAGATGCGTGTTGAATTGATAACTAGATTTAAGTGGAGCTGTTACAAATAATTTCCGGGGTGTCTTAAATGTAAAAGAAATTGCACTTTTACGCATGGCTTTTCTATGAGACTTTCGATGTTCATTTAGTTTTACAACTTATCATCTTAAAACTGTTCTGGGGGCATGGAGATTAGGAAGTATTAGTCCTAATATACCCTTGAGGTTGGACATCTGTTGGAAATTAAGATACTTGCTGAATTCAAATTTAATTCTATGTATTAATTTTAGGGACATGAATGAGATGCTTAATCATCATCATCGTCAGCTACACGAATCTTGGTTCACCATTCAGCTCTTTTAAGGGCCATACCCTCAGTGAGGTCATAAGTCCCCTTATCTTTTCTCACTACTTCCAACATGGATGGGATTCTAAATATTCTATCTATTAATTTCAGGGACCTTAATATTGTTAAGGAATAGGGGGGACAAATTTGGGGTTTTTATTATTTGTTTTGGGGCAGGGTAACGCTTTCTAATCTCTTTTGGGATTACCATGACGTTTTTTTAATTCGTTAGATTTCTTTCTAATGGGGGGGGGGTTGTTACATGAAGTACTAGAATGGTGGGTGGGTAAGGATTCTTGTGGAGATCTACAAAATAGGGGATAGCGACGGACGTGCATGGGGAAAAGAGAGAATCCCTACAATGATGGCACTACGGAGACCTGGGAGAGAAGTAGGGAATTTAGAGAGAGATAAGGGGAATTAATGTGGAGCTCAAAATATAGGAATGTGGGAGAGAATATGTGAGTTAAAGGGAGAGAAGAGAATATGTGAGTTAAGGCGAGAGGAGAGATATCTTTGGACTTTTTTAAATCATTAGTTTTTTTATTATTTTGGTAAACATGTACAAAAATGTGTTGGACATTCCACTGAGGGGTCCTTGGTTTTATTTTATATGAGATTGGTTTTATTTTATATGAGATTCTTTTGTGAATGAAGAGAGTGTCTTTGGTGTGAGAAAGGGCTTCTTCTTTTCCCTTTCGGTTTGATTGACTTCCATATTACTTCTCTTATTTGTTGCTGATATTTTTGCTTGATAGAGGATCAAAAAGAAGGTCAATTCATTTCCCACCTTTTCTATTTATCAATTGATGCATGACAAAATTACTTGTATTTTTAATTTTTGTTTGAGTTAAAAGGGTGCCTGTTTTAATTTTAATTTTAGGATTTATTTTTGAGGTTTTTAATTTTTTGGGCATTCTAGGTTTATGTTTTAGTTATTAGTTTTTGGATCTTAGGAGTTGCTTATGGAACATTTTATTTGATTAGAGGTAAGTTTAAAACTATCTGGTCAATCCTATTTTTGTGAAGGCCATTATGGGCCTTTGTATCTCAATTAAGTTTTAAAAGAGGTGTGCGAAGGTCTAAGGGGAGCATTTACGTGATTTTGGAATTAAAAAAAAAAGAGAGGAAGTTTTTAGCTTGGAAGCCCTTGTTAGGGTTTTGGAGAAGAAACCCATTTTGTTCCTTCATAGTGGTGATTGTGCTTTGCTTGAAATTGTTTAATTTTCTGTTTTCTTCATCAAATCTCTACATCAATTGGTATCAATGTGTAGTATTCTTGAACAGCAAGGGTGAAAATCTTCAGTCAAGTGTAGGATTTACTGATTTCAGCCAAGAATTTGCTGATTTCAGCCTAGGATTTATTGATTTTGGCGTAGAACTTCCTGAATTCAGCCAAGGGATTGCTGATTTTCTGCCAAGGGTTTGCAATATTGGTGATCCTGCAGCAGCAAGAAGGGGTCATGGAAGGGGAGGTGACCTACCCCTTGATGCTAGAGATGAGGAAATTGTGGATCTCAGGAAGCGGGTTCAGCACCTTTCACAACAATTCGTGGGCATCAATCATGAGCAAGACAATGTCTTTTCAGCTCAAAAGATGCTGAGTGCAACCCTTTTCACCACTGTGCTCCACGTGAGGAGCCGAGTGAAGAGGAGAGTGATAGAAGAAATACACATGGAGAGCACCACTCTAGGTTTTCGATTTGAAGGTAGGCATTCCTATTTTTGACGAGCATAATTGTTAATCATAGCTAGTAGAGAGGTAATCTCACTGCTTGTGAGTATAATTTGGTTCGTCAAACAGAGGAGGCCAACCATGGAGAACCTTTATTTTCGTCAAGTTGTTCTAAACTCAGTGTATTATAGATTGGGATTTGCCACCAACCTTTGATACATGCTTAGATAAAGAGCGTGGTCTTTTAGGAGATTGGATCTATGATAGGGATCAAGGTGAAGATCTCGAGGATATCGAAGAGGTGGAGCATTCAAGAGATTTAGCGCATTGGGATCAAAGTTGTGCAGAGGAAGTGTGGTTTACTCATAAACCGCAAATTGTGGCCCTAGATTCTGAGAGTAATGAAATAGATGTCGAGAAAGTGTCTAAAAGCCAAAACATTGAGCTTGAAGTTTCCTACATGATTTTCAATGTGAGTTCAAGGATAACCCTTTTTAATAAATTTGTATCGATTCCTCATATGCATATTGGGATCAGTTTCTTGAGGATTTTTTTTTACTACAAATAATTTTTGAGCCAACAACAAACAAGATGAAGTTGGTGGTTTTGATGTTGAATTCATCGTATCACACTTTAAAACTCAAGGACGAGTTTTCTCCAACTAAGGGAGAATTCATCGTATACGAGTTTTCTCCAACCAAGGGAGTGTGATTGAGGGCCAAATTAATTTTATTTTAAAGTTTTGTTTAATTTCAAAGGATGTATTTTAATTTTAATATGAGTTTATTTTTAGGGTCTTTTAAGTTTTTTTGGGGATTCTAGAGGTTTTTTATATTTTTACGATTTTAGATGTTGTTTAGAAAAGTAGTTTGAGGGCTTATAGAATTGTTTGTTTTATCAAAGATAAGAATGTCATTGGAAATTTTGTTTTAAGTTAGGACTATTTAGTCAATCTTATTTTGGTGAAGGACATTATGGACCTTTGTACCCCTACTGAGTTATAAAAGAGGTGCATGGAGGTCTAAGGGGGACATTCATGTGATTTTGAAATAGAAAAAGAAGTAAGCTTTTAGCTTTAAAGTCCTAGTTAGGGTTTTGGGGAAGAAAGTCCAGGTTTTGTCAAATTGGTGTTCGTGCTTTGCTGACAATTTTAAATTTTCTGTTTTCTTCATCAAATCTCTACATGGGGCCGTCAATTGGTGTGACAGTAAAAGCTTTGGGTGGCCAACGCAAGTACACGGGTTCGAGTCTGAAGAGCGGCCATTTTGTGCATAAGCCAAAGGTTAGAACCGTTTCCAGCCCACCCCTCCTGGGACCCTTCTTAGGCGGGACCAGCACCGGGTTACTGCCCTTTTACGGCCTTTTCATCAATCTCTACATCATCATCCCGAACTTCTTAGCAATTAGCATTATCCTCTTTGCTTTAATCAAGAACATCATAACTATGTCTTCTAATATTTTTGGCTTGTCATTGGTGATATGGAAACATGAAAAAATGGAAGTGGTCATGTAAAACTCATTTGCCTGAAAAACAGAAAGCTCATAGAAACACTTAATGAATTCTAATCAATAAAAGTAATTATATGTGGAAAGTAAATCATGAACCATCAGAATGTATTATGTTTATCCATCGAGCATATTCTGTGAACATCCATCGCTTGTACCAGAAATTCATAGTATTAGGTATAGTGATGACTAATTGAAATGTGTTAATATTCACTAAAGTATCATAAGCAAATGATGCTAGCAGCACCCTCACACGTATACATGACAGATCATTGACATTCATCAGCAATGCCTTTATAAGACACTAAGGACTGGGCATACAAGTGTATCCTTTTCTTTGTCTTCCAGATATTATTTTTTATCTGTCCTGTATTTTGTTGGATGAAAAGATTCTTGTGATTTTTGGGGCACTGAGATTAGTGTTGAGTTCTATTCTTTTTTATGTTCGTCTCATCCAACTACTAGAGATGCATTCATTATGAGACATTTATTTTTTTGGTTGCATATTTGCTTGTAAATTTCTTTTCTTGGATGCTGGCTATTGCAACTTGTTGTCTATAATTTTCCGCTCACACTTTTTCCAACTCTAGTGCTATTTTCTTGTAGCGATTCCTCCGTCCTAAAATGTATTCTCATGAGATTTCTAGGCGAATAAAATTATCCTCTGTGGACTGTCTAAATATGCAGCATATCAACAATAAAATCATATTTTTAAATGCATCTAGCCATTGTAGTCCTCGTCTTCTCCCCAGTGTTAGTCTCACCTTTTCTATTTGCCCAATTATACTTCTCCATCAAATTTATGTTCACTGCTTAACAACAATCTCCTAGATTTGCAGCAGTGTGCAGTTTCTTTCATGGAGGCCATGGGAAGGTAGAGTTAAGTTTGCAACCTAGTTGCCATGCTGTTCATATTGCATCTATATTTCCTCTTCTGGCCCTTTAAACTGAATTATGATATTATTCTATGCCAAGATATTTCCTGTGAAATCTTCCATTTATGGCTTTAGAGACAACTTGTTATGGGTATGTATGCATGAACTCGGAACAGGTATGAGATCAAGAGTATGAGGAATGTTGGTTTTGAGATGTTTCTGACTTGGGGTGGACACATACAAATATATATGTATGCACTTGTGTCCATATATCTATACATGTGTAATAGTTGATTAATATATGTGTATCTATGCATTTGTAATAATATATATATATATATATATATATATATATATACGAGGACGTAGTAGTATTTATCGACGTAACGGTTAGTAATAAGTTAATAATAATCGACGTAACCTAACCTTAACTTAAAATTTTGACTACCTAATTAAGTT